ACTTAAATGTCCTAATTGAACTATTGCCTAGTCCTGGTTTAGTCTGTGAAACCAGGCCCTAGCCTAGTAAAGCATTTTAATACTGTCACAGGGTGTCGTTTCAACCACACAGACACCTCTAGAGGGCGTCAGCGTTCACTGCGTCGATTTTGAAAAGGGAGGGGGAGAAACGCGTAAGCACTATTGCGCATGTGCAGCCGTGTTCTCACGCTTAGCTTACTGTAGTGATTTTGGTGTTGTATAGTCATCATGAAGGCTCTTAGAGGAATGGTGAGCGGAGCCGTGAGCGAAATCTCCTCCGCTGTTACTGGGAGCAAACACGTCGCCGTTCGGGAAAATGTCCTTGCTGTGACTCGTGACTACATTTCTCAGCCGAGATTAAGTGAGTGGCCAGTGCTGACTATGAAGGGCCCTTACTAACAGAAACCCACCACCGTAGCGATCAAATGATGTGTGTATGTCGCAACGAATGAATGACATGCTCTGTATTTACACTGCATCTGCTAATCATCCCCATCATGTTATTTTCAGCTGAAGACATTTAAACATCCGATTTTTAGCATATCTGGTATTGTACATTTGTGAACCATGTGAATCCAGGGACAGCTTGCTAATTAGAGGATATTTTCCTTGCAAATGCATTTTGTTTACGTCTAACTGCGTGATCTTAAAAATCAGTTTAATGATTGGTTGGGCTTTCACCACATATGACATTAAAAAAATCAACATGATGCAGGTTTTAGGTTCATGCATGTAGGATCTGCGTCGTGATGGCGTCATGGCAAGCCGTTTTAACATTTAGACTTGTCCTTTAACTAGTATGTATATTTGTTATTAATCCATTACTTAATATTTCATATAAAGTAACATAGAAGTACTAGTACCTATTTAAAAAGTTGTTACTAATATGTGCCAAAAACAATTGGAATACTAGTTTAAGTGAATAGTCAGAATCTGAACCACAGAGAATTTAAAGGGGTCATATGATGCGATTTCAATTTTTCCTTTCTCTTTGGAGTGTTACAAGCTCTTGGTGCATAAAGAAGATCTGTAAAGTTGCAAAGACTAAAGGCTCAAATCCAAAGAGATATTCTTTATAAAAGTTAAGAGTCAACCACGCCTTCCTAAAACGGCTCGTTCTAACACGCCCCCACACGTCTATGTCATGATGTGGGAAGATTTGCATAACGCAGCCCAAATGTTCACACAATGAAAGAAGGCGTAACTTTTATTCTCTCTGTAGTATTGTTGTTGCCGCCGCCGCCATGTCGTGAAGGCGCTGTGTGTTTCGTTGTGAAAGTGAAACTACTTTGTTTGGCCTTCCAAAAGAGGACCATATCCGCTTCGTCATGCTTAGAGCTGATCCGTGCTGGTTGCTAATGAAATACATCAACTTTGCGCTGTGGATCGCCGGATTGGCTTTCACCGTGGATGAAGCAGAGTCCAGCCCGGGGTCGTCACATGTGGTTGCCGCAAGCCTGCCCGCCCGCCGCCGCTCACTCTAGCCGCCGGCCTCCACTCATTCTATTTACAACACTGTTCCAGAACAGTTCAACCCAAATATTCTGATGTGTGCAGCGCATTTTATGGAAGAGTGTTTCCTGATCCTGGTAGAGTAGACTATAATGCCGGCTGTTCTGACTCACAGACTGTAAGTAAGATTTTTTTATATTTAAAGAATTTGCCACTGACGATTCAAACGCGAGTTTTGAGCAGTGTAGGGTAGCGTTTGTAGTTTGTCATTTCTCCGATCACAAATGCAGACATGGTTTTATGTTTACGTGGCGCGATGCAATGCAATGTGTAAAAAGACAGTATAAGTCATTATAATCTGTAATTATGTCCCCACTGGATGCAACAAATGCCTAGTTTATAATGGGTTTTAATGTTTTTGTCTCGTCGCTCCGGCCGGGACAAGGCATCACAATATGGCAAGGGCCGTAACATTTCCGTCACACGCTTGAGGTATTCGGCCAATCAAAACGCACTGGATAGCTGGCCAATCAGAGCACACCTCGCTTTTCAGAACGATGAGCTTTGTAAAAATCGATGCGTTTCAGAAAGGCGGGGCATAGAGGAGAAACAGTAATGTACAGTATGTAGAAAATAATGTGTATTTTGAACCTTAAACCGCATAAACACATTTCATTACACCAAATACACAAAATAATATTATTTTTAGCAACATCCATATGACCCCTTTAATGACATAAATGTTAAATGTCTTACCAGTAACGATGGAATAGATATATTTTACTACTGGAAGCAGGAAAGAAATACTAGTATTTAATAAGTAGTTACTACTAAAACTGAAAAATGCTAGTGCTTATTAAAAGAAGTATAAACAAAGTCCTTTTAAGGCTAGTAATTTCACTAGCTGGGCAACTATTTCAGTCATGCAAGTACATCTCTTTGAATGGGAAACAAATTCCCCAAATATGTTCACCAATCTTACAATTAAATTTCATATTTGAAATAACCAGTGAAATTTGACAGCAACAGTCTTAATTGTTAAATTATTGTTAAAAAAAACTTATAACACTCAGAACACTGACCGTTTCTTTAGCATCTGCAGCTGCAGTGACGAGATGACTTTACCAATTAGCGATTGACTGTTTTATTTAGAAGGCGGGACTATTCCGCCATATTGAGCATTGCACGTTCTCTCATTCATAAGTAATGAGTGCAATTTTATATTTTAAATATCTACAGTCTTTGGTATTAGTATCAAATGAATAGTTGTTAATGAAATTAAGTAGAATCCTGGTTATTAATTGATTTTATTATTATTAATATATTTTTTTATTTTAAAAATATATTTTATTTAAAATAAGTACTATTAACATAAATACATATTAGTTATAATGAATAATGCTAAATTGGCTTGCCATAGATGGCAGAATCATCAAATGCACTGATGACATCACAACATGCAAGGAGCTTTAACAAATTTGAAATTTAAACTGGTTAATTCTCAAATATGGAATCTTTTTAGTTAAAAAAAAATCGTATCTAAAACAAACAAAACAATAAATAAAATGTTAGGAATAACATTTCTAAGGCATCATGACTTTTTATTTTCTGATTATGAGCATCTTAGTCTGTTATTTATTTCTATTTGGGTTTATGATTTGTATACATTATAAATGACATTCTCATTCTTTTTCTTTATTTTTCTTTTTAAAGACACTTTGACCATAACATGATGTCATATTTTATCAGGTGATATGTGCTTTATTTGTTTCACTTTATTTATTTTTCACAATGCAGTGCTTACTGATCTTTGTTCATGTAATTAAAAGAAAAAAAAAACTTTGTAGAATTTGTGTGACTTAGTTGTGTTTGTAATTTGATTTAGACTACAAAAACACTCTTGTGACATTGTTGTTTATTGTGTGCACAGCGTATAAAACTGTTTCTGGTGTTAATGGACCCCTGGTGATTTTGGATCAAGTGAAGGTATTGGATTTCTATAGTGTATATATTACCGTTGTTATCCATCTGGTTTGTATTGTTTTTTAGAAACATAATGCATCCAAATGCGGAGCCTCAACTCACTGCTTACTTATTGGGTATAAAATATAAAATAAAGAACAATATAAAATATTTCATGTAAATAGGTAATGACAACTTGCCCACTTCTACTCAATAACCCATCTAGTTACAGCTGTACAGATTTACCATTACTAAGATGTTCATTATTGTCTTTATAGTCATGCATCCAGATGCCAAGGCAATCATCTAATTTGTTTGGAAAGTACTGGATTATTCTGAAGTTCTTGATGTAACGTTAACCAGTTGCTCAGTAGCATTTGTATATCTGGTTCAGTTCCCCAGGTATGCTGAGATTGTTCATCTGACTCTGCCTGATGGCACCAAGAGGAGCGGACAAGTGCTGGAGGTCACAGGCTCCAAAGCTGTGGTTCAGGTCAGGGAACGAGACCTTCAGAAAAATCTATGTTTTAAATTTTTCCCTCCATTGTGGAAATCTGATCAGTAGCATCCCTCATTATTTCATTTGTAGGTGTTTGAGGGAACGTCTGGTATTGATGCCAAAAAAACCACATGTGAATTCACAGGGGACATTTTGCGTACGCCTGTGTCTGAGGATATGCTGGGTAAGAATAAAAAAGGAGACGTTCTGAAGCCATCTGATATTTTTTTTTATCATGTGTATTTGCTAACACTAGAAGTCTATTACAGGTCGGGTCTTCAATGGGTCAGGAAAGCCGATTGATCGAGGGCCTGCGGTGCTAGCGGAGGACTACTTAGACATTATGGGTACATTTCAATGGGGCCACATTAATTATTGTGCTCACAAATTTTCATCAGTGGCATTTTTGAGTATTGATGATATGTGTACCATCCAATTTCCTCCTACTTCCTGTAGGTCAGCCAATTAATCCTCAGTGTCGTATTTATCCTGAGGAAATGATCCAGACAGGCATCTCTGCCATTGATGGCATGAACAGTATTGCAAGAGGCCAAAAAATTCCCATTTTTTCTGCGGCTGGTCTGCCCCACAATGAGGTGAGACCCCTGTCAGTTGTTTGTTTTTTTTGTTTTTAATGTTTCATTCTCTTCTGTTTTTCATCTTAAAGGTATGAAGGATGCTGAATTTATAAAAGCATGATTATATAAAAGGTGATTCTCCTTGAAGACACACACACACATGTTGGATTGTTTTAATTAAATTAATTTATTTAGTGAGGATGCATTCAATTAATCAAAATTGACAGTAAATACATTTATAATAGTACTTTATCTTTATATTTC